TATATATATAACAAAACATATTTTTAAACGTATTTATAAAATTAAACGTATTTATTTTTAATATGTTATTAATATGTTTGTAATATGTTATTTTTAATATGTTTTATATAAATACGTTTAAAAATATGTTTTGTTATATATGTATACGTTTAATTTTATAAATACGTTTAAAAATATGTTTTGTTATATATATATATATATATGTGTGTGTATATATACGTTTAATTTTATAAATACGTTTTGTTATATATATATATATATATATATATATATACACGTTGTCTTTTGTTGACCAGGCCGGGCCGGGCCGGTCCTATAACCGGTTACATAACTGGTTCCGGTCTTAACCGGTCTCGGTCCTAAAAAACGTTAAAATCCATAACCGGTTCATAACCGGCGGTCCATACCGGTTCCGGTTCCGGTCCCGGTTCCGGTCCTCTGGCGGTACGGGCCGGGTCGGGCCCATTTGGCCATCTCTAACTACAAGACATAATTAACTATAAGCATGAAAATTATCTAAAACACGTTCTAAAATATTTTTCGATTATGCAATGATTATTAATACGTCTTTTTTTCTTGATTTATAACATGAACAATCATTTACTTGTAATTAATCCTAAAAAAGATAAATACTTTGTGATTAAATAAACGGGATGTTTAAATTGAAATAACAAAAGTGTTGAAAACATGAAAACAAATGTTAGTCGTCGGATGGATTTGATCCAACAAATACGATTAAAGATGGTTAAAATTTTATTTTTAGAACTATGATTTATTTATTTGTTGTTCGAAAATAAGCAAAATTTAATTAAAATTGAAGCTAAAATTAAATAATTTGTTTTCTTTAATTTAACATCTATATCATTACCTTATTTTTCTGTTATTTATTTCATATTATTACCATTTAATTTATATATTATTAAATACATATTTATCTACTGTTCTCATGTTTATATATCAACATCAAAACTTACTTTTTATATTTTTAATAAAAGCATTTCCAACGCAAGATTTTTATTAGCAAAAAATGAAGTGACTTGTAGAAACTACCATTGTGTAGAGTTCTTATAAGTAGATCATCCTCTTTAGGTTCTTACCATTGTTTATGAGAAGTGACATTTTCATAGTTTTTTATTTTATTTTTATTACTTTATAATTATTATTGATATTGAAAAAATCAATGGGATCTAAAGAAAGGAGGTTCTTATAAGAATTATCATTACGAACTTTTAAAAAAGTTCTTAATTTGATAAGTTGGAGATGGACAACAAAAAGTACAAAAAAAAAGTCTTTAGACCATCTCTAACCCTACACTAAAAACACAAAAGTAGAGGTGTTTTAACCATAAGGGTGGTGTCTGATTGATTTGAGCTTGGCTCCAAAGGTCAAAAATATCTGGAGGTCCCAGATTCAAATCCAAGGAGGAATAAAAATCCTCTTGTGGCCATGGAGATTCAAATGAAGTGACTCTATACTATCTGCAAAGCAGGTGGTCGTCCTGGGATTAGTCGGCTCGCATAACGAGTTGGAGATCCAGGTTAATCAAAAAAAAAAGTAGAGGTGTTTTCTTCACCAACCCTGCACTAAAACACTAAGAAAATGAACTATATATTTAAAGGTTAATAAAGTAGACCTCTATTAATATATATAAACTAGAAGGATACTTACGTGATGCAACGAGATATATCTCGATTCTAATATTTCGTTTTACTTTTTTATCCCTATCGATATTATAATATGAATTTTTGTGCTTTTGAGCAAACAATAATATATTTTTTAAATATAAATTTGAAGATATTATAAAATTTTAAAAATATATATAAAATATATCCCTGCAAATTCGAAGACAGTTAAACGGGAAGAAACAAAAGGAATACGTTTTTGGTACGAGGAGGAGGAGTATCGAGTTGGAGAGAAGAAAAGGAAGATGAGCGAGAAAGGACAGGACAAGATCCCTGGATTACAGAAATATCACTGTTGTTTTTATCCCATCATCATCACTCCTAACGTCTCTCACTTAATCATTCGTCTTTATGCAAATCACAGAAACCCATTTCATTCTTCAAAACCTTTTGATACTTTCAAAGAGAGAGAGAGGTGATCAGACGTTAAAGCATCTGCTTCTGCAATCAATCCTTTCTCTCCCATAACAACTGAAAGTGTTTTCTTCAACTAACACCATGGGAGCTTGTTGTTCTTGTTCTTGTTCTTCATTTTCTTTATGTGGGTGGCGTCATTTGAAATCCAAGAAGGGTCCTCGTTCCGCTGATCTGGGTATGTCTAAATTGAAGCTTTAAAGTGTTTGATCATGGTTTATTTGGTTCATATTCTTTGTGTGTATAATGTGTTTGATGTTATGTTTCAGAGAATCGCGGTGGGGAGAATGATGTGAAGTGGCCGTGTTTTAAGGAGTTCAAGTTAGACGAGCTTAGAGCTGCAACTGGTGGGTTTTCTGTTGAGAATGTTGTGTCTGAGCATGGTGAGAAGGCGCCCAATGTTGTGTATAAAGGGAAGTTAGCAGATGGTGACCGTTTGATCGCGGTTAAGCGGTTTAACAAGTCAGCTTGGCCTGATACTCGTCAATTCCTTGTATGTTATCTAGCTTCTTTTGAATAGTTTTGATTTAAGGAGTTTTTCTGTTGATTCGGGTCTGGATTGGGATGCTGCTACATCAAGAATAGTGATAAGCAAAACTCTTAAATCTTTTTATGTGTCTTGTGGGTATATGTACACATGTATTGTGTTAGCCCGAGGTTTGGACGCAATGTTACACATGTACCAAGACTATAGATGGGGAGGAGGAGGAGGTCTTGTGATGAAAACATTATAATTGAGCTAAAACAGGTATAATTGTGCTAAAGCCTATAACATATATAATTGGGCATCCCAAAAAAATTGGGACCCTGTTCTATATGGCACACCCTCAAGCACAAGCCTGGTGTTAGCCATGTAAGTATGTATGTAGCATTGGTTCAATGTGATCTTTAATGTATGCACCAAGTATATGAGGTGGATTACTTATGTGATATTGAGTTTCTAGGATGAAGCAAAAGCAGTTGGGCATCTTAGGAGCCAAAGGTTGGCAAATTTGTTGGGATGCTGCTGTGAAGGAGATGAGAGATTGCTGGTGGCAGAGTTCATGTCCAACGAGACTTTATCCAAGCATCTATTTCATTGTGAGTCTACTATCTAGTTTCATGCAAATAACTATGTGTTTAGCCATTTCGTAAGAATTTGAGCTCTTGATTTGGGAATGATCAATGAAGCTTATGTAGTTCTAAATCTTAAAAAATCTTGGTTGAGCTCTTCCCATGTGACGGTATGAATCCCATGGTTGATATAGAATGAGTTGTATAATGCAAGTTCCTGTGATGTGCTTTCTGTAAGACCTCCATGGTGTGTTTTGTGCATATAAGATACAAATGCATTTATGAAAGCATCTAGTGACAATGTGCTAATTTAGGGGAAAGCCAACCACTGAAATGGGCTATGCGTTTACGGGTGGCACTGTATTTGGCACAAGCATTAGAGTATTGCAGTAGCAAAGGGCGATCCCTGTACCATGATCTCAACGCTTACAGGGTATTGTTTGATCAGGTAACGTGTCTGCTTCTATAAAAGTGTTGCTTTCTATTGATATGTCCAGATGAATAGTCGTCTTCTGTCTTTCTTGTTCTTAATTGGAGTCACAATATGGCAGGATTGCAATCCCAGGCTCTCATGCTTCGGCCTAATGAAGAATAGCCGAGATGGAAAAAGCTACAGTACCAACTTAGCTTTCACCCCTCCAGAATATATGAAGACAGGTAGAACAAATGGCCACATATAGAGTACACATTCTGATAAACATATTAAGAAGGAGCATCTTTGTGAATTGCGATGGAGTTTATTTCAGGAAAATCTATTTTAAACTACCTAGAGAAAATTAATAGTTGCATCTTCTGATGACATTGATGGGCCACAATTATCTGATATATGTCATGAACTTCCTTTGTGTTTGTGTGTGTGCGTTTTTTTTTTTTTTTTGGGGGGGGGGGGGGAGGTCATCCTGATATTGATATGAATGAAATTGTTGGAGTCCCTCATTGGCTAGAGTTGGACCATATCTACTCGATATAAGTTGGAACCTCCCTTTTCTAACCAAGGGATCTTTTGAAGAGTAACCTGATGTGATTCCACGTATTCTTACATGGTATCAGAGCCAAGATCTATCCACTTTAGGGACTCGACACCATGGGACAATATATACTCGTCTAGCCTTTGTTGGAGGGGGCGTGTTGGAGTCCCACATTGGCTAGACTTGGACCATTTATCCTCAATATACGTTGGAACCTCCTTTATGTTCTTAATGGCTCTTTTGAAGAGTAATCTGACGGGGTTCCACATATTCGCCTAGAAACTATGAATTTTCACCTTTTCTGTTAGAATATTACTTGTATAACAGTTGGTTTCAGTGCTCATATATTACCATGGCAGGTAGAGTAGTAGCAGAAAGTACAATTTACAGCTATGGCACCATACTTCTTGATCTTCTCAGCGGAAAGCACATTCCCCCTAGCCATGTAAGTTCTTAAATTCTCATTTATCAGTTACAACGAAGGATGAACTGCACAGAAAGAACTCCGTTGTTTCCAAAAGAAAATCATGCCAGCCACTGCCAATTGAACCCCTTTGATCACTAGTGAAATTAACATAATTTGCAAAAAGGAAAATTATGATCGCATACATAGTCTGCATGATAGACTGTACAAAAATCATATGATCAAAATTTATGTTCTCTTTCTGTTTGTAGGCACTGGACTTGATACGTGAGAAAAATTTCCAGATGCTAATGGATTCGTGTTTAGAGGGTCATTTCTCTAATGATGATGGTAGTGAGTTGGTAAGGATAGCTTCACGATGCTTGCAATATGAACCTCGTGAAAGGCCGAATGCAAAATCTATTGCGACTTCCCTCGCTGCTCTTCAGAAACAAATAGAGGTATGTGCATTTCCTGCTAATGAACTAAATAGGTTTAGGGCCTCTTTGTTCGCAGCTTAATGAGCTTAATAGGACTCGCAGCTTGTTCGGTCAGCTATACATGATTGTTTTGTAGTGGCTTCATGATATAGAAAGGGGCTTATTCAGTAAGCTTCTAGGGGGAAGCTTTATGCAGAAAGCCAAGTTTCTTCCAAATCTGCCACTCCCAATTAAAAAACATGCTCCTTTCATCTATGAAAAACTCTCCCAAACAAAAACCTTCCAAACTATACAGACGGATTAATCCACACAGACAGCTTTATCTATACAGGACTTAATGAAAAACCAACCAAGCATGGACATTGCTCAAACTCCATGTCCACTCTCCTTCAACCAATCAACCCATGACACATCATTACTTTATTGAAATAAAAAGATAAATTAAATAAAATAACGATGTGTTAGGATTGATTGGTGGGACAGGGAGGGAGATGGATTTCAGGGCAGGTGATTTGTATCTCTACTTAGTTGTTGTCAATGTTCTGATTTAGTTGCAATAAAACAGGTGTCATCCCTTGTCTTGATGGAAATTACTCATGAATCCCCAATGGCAAATGCAACAGAAACGGACTTATTATCACCGTTTGGGGAAGCTTGCTCGAGAATGGATCTAACTGCCATACACGAGATGCTGGAAAAGGTTGGATACAAGGACGATGAAGGGGTTCCAAATGAGGTCTTTCTCTCTCAGTTGTTATGTTATCCGTTTTGAATACTTTTCCTGGTGCTTTACCTACATATTGTGCAAGCTGAATGTTCATTTTGCAAGTTGGTTATTGCATCATGTGCTTAACTTGGAATCTTGAAGCAAGTTACAAGTATGATACTTGCACTGGCTAAGTATGAGCGTCGGTGCAGCAGGGTTACCCATAAGTTCTTTATTTGTTCCATCATAATCAAGTTGATTGTGTTGTTCATTGGCTGTTCATTGACCATTGCTGTTGACCTTGAGTAGTCCTTAGCACACCGCTCAGCAACTTTGCCTGTTTATTTTGTTGCAGCTCTCATTCCAAGTGTGGACAAGTCCGTTACAGGATGCTTTGAATGGTAGAAAACGTGGGGACACTGCTTTCCAAGCCAAGGACTTCAATGCTGCCATTGAATCATACACGACTGTAAGTACTCATCTTCTTAGGGCTTGTTTGTTTGCGGTTTAGTGAGCTTAATGTCACTCATAGCTTATTCGGTCTGCTATACATGACTATTTGGTAGTGGCTTGATGATATATAAAGTGGCTTATTCAGTAAGCTTCTAGGAGGGAGCTTTATGCAGAAAACTAAGGGGGTGTTTGGTTGGGGGTATTGCTAGGTAAGGAATGACAATGACAATGAAAAATATGGTTTGGTTAGATATAATATAATGGGCCCATTATAGCAAACCCATTAATTTCCATTCCTGAACTAATCGGGGGGAATGAAATTTTTATTCCCGCGTCTTCACATCGCGTCTTCACATCGCGTCTTCTCCATATTGGAATCAAAGATGAGGGTTCTTCAATCTTCTGAAAATTTCATCGATTTCTTCACTTTCTCATTCGATAGGTTCGAAAAGATCTTGGTTTTCCACAAGATTCTGTGGTGCGAACAGAACGCCGGTGGTGGGTTTCCAATCAAATCGATCCATGGCCACTCAATCGAAGTAATCGGTTTACGACTTCACCGTTAGGGTTTTTGTCGATTAAAGATTGTGGGTTTGTGGGAAATCATGTGTAGATGTACAGACTTGCCTTTTCACCAATTAGGGTTCTTCAATCTTCTTCACTTTTTTTTTAACGATTAAGGTTCTTCAGTCGTTCTAGGGTTTTTAATGATTTCCTAGTATTAACCAAACAGCATCAATGCAGTATTCATTCCCATTTTCATTCCCTGTCATTACCATTTTCATTCCCATTTTCATTCACATGTCTGAACCAAACAGGCCCTAAGTTTTTTTTCCAAACCTGCCCCTCACAATTAAAAAACACCCTCCTTCCATCTATGAAGAAGTCCTCCCAAACAAAAACTTTTCTAATCTGTGCAGACAAGTTAATCCACACAGACAATTGTATACATACAAGATCTAATAGAAAACCAACCAAACAGCCCCTTAATCTAATAGAAGTGTTAGGACCATTAGCCAAATGTCTACGACACTCTTTAATAACCCGGAAATATCACAATAAACAAATTAGTCATTTTGGAATATTGCAATGAATATGGAATGTAACACAAAATGGAAATTGTTGCAATTATTATTCCGGCTTCTTTAATCTATTATCGTACAAAACTTCAGATTATAAACTTCAATTTACACACTGGTTCAGCATATAACTTCTAAACTTCGGTTTTCTACTGTTTCTTTTTCTCATTACAAAATCAACTATGTTACACCCTCCATCCCATGAAAATTGCAACACTCAAGACTTGACTTGTAATGTTAGTAAAAGTCAAGTGTCTAAAATACCCTTCATGGATGGCCTATGTTTTAGTCATATTTATTGACTAATTGAACTTGTTTTGACTTCAATTCGTTAGTTTGATTTCACATGGTATCAGAGTCAAGTTCTTACCACCCTAGGGACTTGATACTTGAGGACAGTTTGGAGGGGGTATGTTAGAGTTCCACGTCAGCTAGAGTTTGAGCATGAGTATAAAATGGGGTTCCACGTATATTTTCACATTCATATGTTTTGGCAACTGTTTGTGGCATAGAATCTTCTCTAAAACCTGGTGTTCTTGGTTCAGTTCATCGAGAATGGAGCGATGGTTTCGCCAACGGTGTATGCCAGACGGTGTTTGTGCTACTTGATGAACAACAAAGCACAAGAAGCTCTGGGAGATGCAATGCAAGCCCAGGTGACATCGCCGGACTGGGCGACCGCACTTTATCTCCAAGCTGCTGCTCTGTTTGGCCTAGGAATGGAGAACGATGCTCGTGAAATGCTTAAAGATGGCTCGACGTTGGAGGCCAAAACAAAAAGAAACTGAATCTTTTTTAGGTTTTTGCTTTCGATTTTGAATATGATTGTAAATATAGACTCAATCCGATGACTGGGTTTGTGCACAAAAAGGATTGAATTTGTATGTTCCTCACAGGCTGCCAAGGTTGTGGAATGATAAGGTGTTTCTCAAATTTGTAACTTGCTAAGTAGGAATGGGGGTACTTGTTTTAAAAGGAAAATTATACTCATTTACCTAACTGGGTGAGTGTACCGATAATATTACCTGACAGGGGTAAGTTAGAATTAATAGTAAGTTTTTATGTGTGAAAAACATTTGGCAAATTGTCACTTATTTGAGATGGAAAGGGTAGAAATATGCTTTAAAGTAAATATAACTTTACATAATTATATTCAAGCACAATTCTAAGGTAAAATATATAATTTTACAAGACCATGATTTTTCAAAGTAAATATAACTTTACATAATTATATTCAAACATAGTTTAAGAAAAAAGAGATTCAAAAATGAATATATAATACATTTCAAAAATAGATCCAAGAAATCCAAAAGAGAATTTAGAAGCAAATATGCAAATTACGTTTTCAGGAAACAAAATTCAGCCAGAAATAGGCAGGCACAAAATAAAAAACCAGTACTAGTTATAATCCAGACACAATTACACCCATACTTCTTTAGCAAAAAACATTGCTTTCTTGTAAGACTTTCACAAACTATCCGGTTTTCGTCCCCCTAGTGTATTCGATAGAATGGTAGTCGAGAAGATTACAACCACGGATAAGCACACGTACAACTAAAATAAGCATAATAGAGTCCTCACAAGTTCCATTGTCTTCAGCCTTCATACTCTCCCTCCTCTTCCTCCTCCTCGTACTCTCCCTCCTCATCAGCAGTGGCATCTTGATACTGTTGATATTCCGACACCAAATCATTCATGTTGCTCTCAGCCTCGGTGAACTCCATCTCATCCATTCCCTCACCAGTGTACCAATGCAAGAAAGCCTTCCTCCTGAACATGGCAGTAAACTGCTCGCTAACACGCCTGAACATTTCTTGGATGGATGTAGAGTTACCAATGAAAGTGGATGCCATCTTTAGACCAGTTGGTGGGATATCACACACAGTTGATTTCACATTGTTGGGGATCCACTCCACAAAGTAAGATGAGTTCTTGTTTTGCACATTTAGCATTTGTTCATCGACTTCCTTGGTGCTCATCTTTCCACGGTAGATGGCAGATGCAGTCAGGTAACGCCCGTGTCGGGGGTCGGCAGCACACATCATATTCTTGGCATCCCACATTTGCTGGGTCAGCTCTGGAACGGTGAGAGCACGGTATTGTTGGGACCCACGAGAGGTGAGAGGAGCAAAACCAACCATGAAGAAGTGAAGACGTGGGAATGGGATGAGATTTACAGCAAGTTTCCTTAGATCGGAGTTGAGCTGTCCTGGAAACCTCAGGCAGCACGTAACTCCGGACATGGTTGCAGAAATGAGATGGTTAAGATCACCAACTGCCAAAAAATTAAGCTTATGTTAACTATAATTTCTTCAGCAATTTTCAAAAGTAAATATATATTAGCAACATTGGTGGATAGACAACCACCACACTTGCATATTGCACTAGATTTAAACCTAGAAAAAATTCTTGGGACAACCCATTGATGAAAAAACCAATAACCTCATAACATGTAGAAAAGGTGAAAAGAAAGACAGCATAGCAGAATATCATAAGAATTTAATATGGAAAACTTACAGCTTGGGGTTGTCAGCTTGAGTGTCCTAAAGCAAATATCATACAATGCTTCATTGTCAAGAACCATACATTCATCTGCATTTTCCACAAGCTGGTGGACAGATAAGGTGGCATTGTAAGGTTCCACAACGGTATCAGAAACCTTAGGAGAGGGAAATACAGAGAAAGTCATCATCATTCTGTCTGGATATTCTTCCCTGATCTTTGAAATCAAAAGCGTCCCCATCCCAGACCCTGTCCCACCTCCTAGAGAATGGCACACCTGAAAACCTGCACCTCAAAGACTATTAAAAAGGAGTCTAAAACCAACCGTTGAGAACCCAACAATAATAGCCAACACCAGGTACAAACATAAACTCATGAGAGTAAAATATATAAAATTGGTAAATAGGATAATATAAGTTCCATTGTCAATACTAAGTTGTGAATATAAATAAGTCATGTATGATGACGAAGCAGTTATATCGATGGAAAATTGGCACTGTTTTCATTCAACAGCTAACCCGAACATTAGAAGCAACAATTTCAAAATAATTAAACAGGATTTCCTTCTTTCATGGATCCAGACAATAGCTCTGTGTGCTAATACCAACTCTTATGACCAGAGCATATTAAAGAAAACCATCCTTATTTCTGAACAGAGTACAACACAAATATGCTTTAAACAGTATTTATCAGCTACATCCTCGTTTACTGTGCAATGGATGGAAAATAATAGATCTATTATTTGGAGCAAGCAAACAAGAGATCCAACAGTTTCGCATATGTCAAGCATGGCATATATAGACAAAGTCAGAGAATTTGGATAAATAGCATATCCGAGTAACAAACACATGGTAGATCTATCAATCGAGACAAAAACAACAAATCGATTTGAAAATTTTCACCATTATATTTGAAGTACAGAGATTATAATTAACCCTATATATATGTTGTAGATCTGTCATTTCTAACACAGCAGCTATAATTAACCCTACATATATGTTGTAGATCTGTCATTTCTAACACAGCAGCTATAATTAACCCTACATATATGTTGTAGATCTGTCATTTCTAACACAGCAGCCAACAGCATACTCAACGATTATCAGTATCAACAATAAAATGTCAACACAAATATACGATAGAAAGACGGGTATATACCTTGCAAGCAATCACAGTTCTCAGCCTCCTTCCTAACAACATCGAGAACAGAGTCGATCAACTCAGCGCCTTCGGTATAGTGTCCTTTGGCCCAGTTATTACCGGCACCACTCTGACCAAATACGAAATTATCAGGCCTGAAGATCTGTCCGTAGGCACCAGATCTGAGACTGTCCATCGTACCTGGCTCCAGATCCATGAGCACCGCGCGTGGGACAAACCTTCCGCCGCTGGCCTCGTTGTAATAAACATTGATCCTCTCGAGCTGGAGTTCAGAGTCTCCGGTGTACTTACCAGTTACATCGATACCGTGCTCGGCGCATACGACCTCCCAGAACTTGGCTCCGATCTGGTTACCGCATTGGCCGCCCTGGATGTGAAGGATCTCACGCATTTTCGAGTGTGAGTGAAGAGAGAGAGAGATTAGGGTTAGTGAAGGGAAAATGAAAATAGGGTTTTGAATATGGATCGAAACAGACGGTTGTCTGCAGTCTCTGTACGGCTGTTTTATATAGGGAGAAACCGTATTTATAGATGTGTATACGTATAGATCGGTGCAGACAGATAGCATACAAGATATTTTGATTTAAATTTCAAAACAGTGAACATGTCTGTATAATTTGGGTAAATTGTATAAAAATATAATCACTTTAACTCGGTTTTTATTTTGAAAAATGAGTTTTTGTTTTCTAAAATGCTCCAACAGTTTTGTTATTTTGTTCTTTAAAATAAAGAATCATATATAAAACTTTAAATAAAGAGAATTCTTCAAAAGTTGATAGTGGGAGAGATAAATAATTATTTTATTCAATTCCATCAATGATGGTTTCAACCATCGTATTTGTAAATAATGCAACTAGCATTAGATTTAACATTTAGAAATAAATTCTTAATACTTGTCTTGTTAATCACACAAGAAGATTAACATCCAAACCTTGGAAATTTGTTAGGTTCAAGGTTTCACATTTTAGTCACCATTTTTTTAATTAACCTGAATATCCAACTCGTTATGCGAGCCGACTAATCCCAAGGCGACCACCTGCTTTTGCATATAGTCGGGAGTCACTGCATTTGAACCTCTGTGGCCACAAGAAGATTTTTATTTGTTCTTGGATTTGAACTTGTGATCTTCTGGTACCTTTAACCTTTGGAGCCAAACTCAAACTAATTAGTCTTCATTGGATCCATAACTCATATAAAATGTGACATCAAATCTTTGATTTGATTATTCTCCATCCAAATGGGAGAATCTGATTGACCTATCTTCATGGTCATTCAATCTTGATTATCAAAAAGTCACATTTTATTCTAAGTTATTTTAGAATCCAATGTTCTTACTTCATAATTATTCTATAGCTAGAATCCGATCTATAGCTCATATTTTGGAACAGAAAAAATAGGATTTTTTCCCCTGTAAAAGTCTAAGAATGAAAAATTTTCTACAAAATCTTAGACTGGTTGAAGTGAGGACTTGTTCCTCTTCATGATTTGAATGGCTTGTACGACCTCTTCCTCTGGTACCATATATTTCTTCTCTTATTGTTGCTCGCAGTACTCGTTCCTCTTCACGATCTCTGACCAGCCTTTGGAACTTTGCTTCATGAATGATGAGTATGCTTTGAAGTTCGTCATTGGAAATTGTACTGGCGTCTTTTGCTTCTTGTATGGATATTACGACATATGTGAACCTCTATTAATGTTCTCAAAACCTTTTCAACATAATGGTATCGACTAGTGTTTCTCCATTGCTTCTCATCTGATTAGCAATTGACATTACCTTGGTAAAATACTTTGCAATTGTCTATCCTTGTTTCATCTACAGTACTTCAAAATCTCTTCCAAGGGTGTTAAGAAGTGATCTCTTCACCTTTACGTTTCCTCTGAACTTGCTTTTTAATGACTCCCGAACGATCTTTGAAGCACTCATATCCAAGATTTGTTCGAGAGTGACCATATCTATTGCTTGATATAGATAGTGTTTCACCTGATGATCTTTCCTTTTTGCCTACTCGAGTTTTGTCTGTTGTGTGTCAATTAGCTTTACTCTGGCATCAGGTTCTTTAACACCAATCTTTACTAGGTTCCAAAGACCTTTTGCCCTTAGTAGATTTTACATTAACTTGCTCCAATGGTTCGTAGTGTTTTCCATCAAACTCTGATATTTTAGTCACACTCTTTTCTTCACTCATTCTTTCCTTTTTCTAAAGTTTTTATCTTTATTTGAAATTTTATGAACAGGGTCAGTAGGGCTAGGCATGGCAACGGGGCGGGGATGGGGCGGGTTTTGTAATCCCCGGCCCCGGCCCCGGTTTGTAATACCGTCCCCCGGCCCCGGCCCCTGTCCCCGGCGGGTACGGGGATTACCATCTCGTCCCCGGTCAAATTCTAGATTTCCCCGGTCAAAACCCGGTAAACCCCGGTCAATCCCCGGTCAAAACCCGRTAAAAAGTATGYTTTAGTTTGATTATACCGGGGATCCCCGGCCCCGACCCCGGCCCCGTTTCGAGTAACATTCCCCGTCCCCGGCCCCGTCCCCGGTTTGAGTCTACCGGGGATCCCCGGCCCCGGCCCCGAGACCCGTTTTAGCGGGGAATCCCCGTCCCCGTTCGGGTCGGGTGAACCGGGTTCCCCACCGGGTCGGGGCAAATCACCATCCCTAAGTAGGGCTCTGATACCACTGTTAAAAACATCTATTAGCTTTGTAACTTGCATAATCACCTAATGTTTGACACTCTTTATTGAGAACAAACCATGGCTTTATATAGCCTAAACAAGGAGAGAGAACCTCAAAAGAAGCTAAATGTAAAGACATAGACCTCTAACACCAACTCTAAGGGGACGTTTACCAAAGAGTTACTCGGTAAAATTTAATACTATTATTTACTTATCGGGTAAAATTTTAGTCCACCAAAATAACGTCGTAAGCGCTTACTGTGGTAAGTTACTTATCGGGTAAGACTTTTGGTGTTTGTCTCGCTCTTAATGGATAAGAGTTTTGGTCCTTACCATCTTCATCCGGTGAGGTAATGTGACTTGGTAAGAGCTTAATTGGGTAAGCGTTTGGTAAATGGCCTCTAACTCTATCCTACAACTCTATTTGTCATGTGAAGGGTTTGACCCTATCTCAATAATACTTGACCAATATATTTAAATAATATAATCTATTCCTAACAGAGGGATTACCGGGATGCAGAGAGATTAAAGCGATAGTGGACACTTTCCTAAATCGGTGGTAAGGATAACCTTACAATTTTGCCCTTGGTTCGCCTATGAAATTGAAAAATGAAGTGCATTCTAGTGTGGCAATATTACAATTCTGTAATTGAAACAATACTATTAATGTAGTGTGTGTGTATATATATATATATATATATATAAGGGTTCAAACGAGAACCCCTGTAATTTACGAAAACGCGAGAACACTTGGCTATTGTATGTTGAATCACATTTTTATAGTATTTGAGAGATTTTTTAAATTTTAAATGAATATTAATTTTTTTTCAAAAATAAGAAAGACGTGGATAGGTAAAACTAGAAATAGAAATATAAAATAAAATAACATGATCATATTACATTACATAATCAATCGACTTTGGAGGCGTAGACGAAGAAGAGGAAGGCGATTTCTAAGAGGTATGTGCTACGCATCACATCTGTATCATATACACAACATACATCAATGACTCCTATATCACACGACTATCACAGTGTGTGTATCACATGATTAGGGCAAAATCAAGAAGTCATTATTCTGTTTGGGCATCACAGAATTATCACAATGTAATAATTGTAAGAAGAAATCGAGAAATTAGACTCTGAATCAATAATATACGCTCATTTCCCTTCTTTATCACAAGATTATCACAGTTGTAGGCATCACATGCTTAGGGTAAAATCAAGAAATTGTTACCCTGTTTGGGTATCACAGATTTATCACAGTGTGATTATCGTAAAGAAAAATCGGTAAATTGTTACCCTATCACACATTTATCACAAGGAATGAATAATCACAATACAGTAGGGATTGTTATCACAGTTGACGAATCGATTAAGAAAAGTTGGTTGGGTATCACATGATTATCACAGTTAACATTTTGAATCGATATGCAGAAGTTGATTAATAATCACATCGTTATCATAGATTTATCGTAGTACGATTATTGTAAGGAAAAATCGATAAATCGTTACACTATCACACATTTATCACAGAGAAGGATAATCATAATACAGTAGTTGACGAATCAATTAAGAAAAGTTGGTTAAGTATCACATGATTATCACAGTTAACACTTTGAATCGATACTATGAACCTTCAAATATGATGACAAGAAAATGATGCATGTTCAGTTGAACGTGATCAATCCCACGCAAAAAGGATGGGATAATTCTAATTAATTAGAATAAAATAAAAAATTATAAAGAATACCTAATTATAATACGGCCCTTATTGACTTATTTGTATTTAATATAATTTACATTATTGATTAAAAAAATTAGGTTAGTAAGTTGTTCTCGCATTCTCGTAAATCACAAGAGTTCTCATTTGAACTCCACCTCTCTCTCTCTCTCTCTAAATATATATATATATATATATATATATGTATGTATAGAGAGAGAGAGAGAAGATTTACCTTGCAAACTACTTTATTTGTACAAACTTCATTCAACCAATCATAATTTTTTTATTTTGTTCATTTTTTTTTGTAATTATGAGAGGTTGATTAATCATTTTTATTGTGAAGGTTGTCATGGATATTAAAATCTTAATTATATTAATTTTAGAAAAATACATGAAATAATTTCATAAGTATTATATGAAACAATTTCATAACCATATATGAAACAACTTCATAAAAAAAAATATTATATGAAACAATTTTATGAAAAATTTCATAAAATTAAACAATAAAATCGACAGATGATGATGGTTTACATAACTTATACAAATATGGATGGTTTGCATTTGATCGTTCATCTCTCTTTATATATTATTTTTTAATAGAAAATTAGTAAAAGAAGCTAAAAGATTCAAATGTCCCTTATTTTACGGACAATTTTAACATAGCTAATGCCTAGGGATGATAATTGTAATTATTAAAGTTTAAGGACATTTTTTGGAGATTCATGTAAATCACAGGGACCAAAATTGTAGTTTAATCTAATAATATATTTATATAATTTCTATTGAAGATAAAAAAAAGAAGTAACAAAAGACTAAAAAGTTCGCCAAGCTAATGAGTTTTTTTTTAATAAAAGTTAGTTATAAGGACCAAAAGTGAAATAAATTATCAATTACAGTGACTTAAATTATAATTTATCAAAAGAATAGGGACAAATGGTAATCATAATAACCAAAAATGTAATTTACTCCAAAAACAATATACAAAATGACAAACTATAAAATTCGAAAATAAAATTTCTAACCATCATGTTTATAAGTTTATTGTAAACCATAAGGAAGATGTTTAATTAATTTGAGTTTAGGTTTTAAAG